ACCATCAATTTTATTAACTAATCGATCACACTCCGCTGAGTAATGAAAACTAAATATCGAATTAATCTTTTTATATACTACATTTGTATTCTTTTTATTTGTCATATGAATACGGTAAATCCATATTATAGTATTAAAAGTTAAGAAATTTCCATATACATATCATGTTTATACTCAAACTAATACTCAAAACAAGAAATATTCAGTTTACGTGGAAGTAAATCACTATCATATGTATGAACAGCGAATTCGTAGCATAATATTATCTTCATATTGATGCTGAAAATGTCTATAAAAGGGTTGTGAGCTCTCAATTATTCCCGAAATATTTTCCTCTTTTTGTATTAGATCTTGCCTAAATGCTTCTATGCTTCCTGTGTTGTGAAAAACTTTTTCGGATTAGATGTATGCGCTTCTGATGTCGTTTCAGGAATAGATGTTTTATTTACGTCTTCTTTTAGCCCATTTTGATCACTTTGAGTCCATTTCATTAGTTTAAAGTTCAGTTTTATTTTTATAGTATCATTATTAGGTAGTTTTAGAGAAAACTCTGTATTTTCAAATTCATTTTGACTCAAATCAATAGGTATTGTAGATGAGAATACTTGGACAAAAGAAATAAATGTTAATAATATAATAAAATTATATTTCATTTTAAGTTTCTATTATGAAAATCAAGATATGTTCCTTAGTTCGCGGTTGAGATATAAATGAAATAGATAATTATAATATATTGATTTCTATATAAATATAATTTATATATTACACCTATATCTCTTTACTTTTATCATTTAAATAATTATTTTTTATCGTTAGTGTTATCATCGATAGTATTATCTTTAACTAAATTTTGAACATCCCTTTTAATGAGTTTCCGCTTATTTGATGAAATGATATCTTCTTCAGCATACCGCCTAGCTAACACATCAATTTCACTAAAAATCCATGTCGGTTTAAAACTATTTATGTTTACATCTTTTTGATCACCTTCATAAACTATACCAACTATTCCAATCATACCGCCAACAGCTTCTATTTTAACATGTTGGTTATGAGAAAATTAAAATGATGGAAGGTTTGACGGTATTTGTTGAGATCTAGCCAAACATAAAATTTGAGATCTATACCTTCCTTCAGCAGTAAAAAATACCTCTAAGGTTTTATCTGTTGCTATACCGTTAATAATATTAAAACTTTTCCATTGAGCATGGCAAGTGCAATACCTATTATTAGGTGTCACGGTTTGTCACCAATACATGTTGTTTTATCTTTATTAAGTATTAATATACATGTATATAGATATATATATAAGAATCATAACTATTTTCATTATATTTTATACAATTATTTTTTGCGATAATTATAGGAATAACCTTGACTTCATCATTGCTTGCCTAATATATCAATAATAAACGGCTGATAAAGTACATATTTAAATATATATTTTAGTAAACTATTTATTGTTGTAACTTATATTAAAAACGTTATGTACTTACAAATGAACAACCTTGTTACTTAAAAATGTATAGATCGTAATGAACATTGAAATATCAACTATTGTAAAAGAAAATTTTCTGAATAAAACTCACTCGATTTTAATACCTCAAACCTACAGGTTATGGCCCAGCATTGGCTTTGAAATATAAAGAAGTTAATATAAAAATATATATATTTTCTTTTTCTGCCAAGAAAATTTTTCTGCTGGAAAACATATTTAAAGAAATGAGTCACGCTAGCATCAAGATTGAACCACTCACAAAGGGCAACTTCGATACATGGAAAATCCAGGTGGAGGCGCTTCTCATCATGAATGATACATGGAAATATGTTTGTGGAGAATGTATAAAGCCGATAGGACCTGCAGATCTCATTACCGAATGGCGAACCATGGATGCTAGAGCGCGATCAGACCTTATTCTAACTATTTCACCACCAGAATTGAGGCAGATTAAAAATTGTGCTACATCAAGAGACATATGTGTCAAGCTGCATGCTGTATACCAATCCAAAGGACCAGCTAAAAAAGCAATGCTTTTGAAGTCCTTAATCCTGTCGAAGATGAACAATGGGGATGACGTAAGAGATCATTTGCATTCCTTTTTTGAAATTGTCGACCGTCTTCAAGAAATGGACTTGCAAATTGTTGAAGATCTCGTTACGGTTCTGCTCCTGTATAGTATTCCAGACGAGTATGAAACGTTTTGCATTGTAATAGAAACCCAGGAAAAGCTTCCAGAAATAGAGGTACTTAAGATAAAGTTATTAGAAGAATACGAAGCTAGGAAACGGTCTGGGAATGAATCAGTTCCTGGAGCATTGTTTGTAAACAAGTCTAAACAAAAGTCAGCAAAAGGCGGAAACACGAAGCAAGAACGTTTTAAGTATGCATGCCATGCATGCGGAAAAATTGGGCATAAGGCAATTGAGTGCAGATTACGTCACAAGGGAAATATAAATAAGCACCAAGTACAAAAGCAAGTTGAATCAAGCAGAACAGTGGAAGTAGCTATGCAAGCTGGAACGGAAGAAAACATCTGGTGTTTAGATTCTGGTGCATCGTCACATATGTGTGCACAGAATTCTAAATTTACGGAAATATAATAGCCGAGAGAAAAAATTTTGAATTTGGCTAATAATAACTCGACGAAAATCGCAGGAATTGGGACAGTAAAAATCCAAACGAAGAAGGCACGAAGTTGAAACTAGACGGAGCTCTACATGTTCCAGATCTTCGATCGAATCTTTTATCTGTGGGGAAAATTACCGACCACGGGTTTGAAGTCATCTTTACGAAACATGGAGCAGTTGTCAAACGTCCAGAAACTGGCGAGGTTTTAATCGTTGCACGCAAAGAGAGGGATTTATATTTCGTTAGCGAAGCGGATGAGGAAAGCAGAATTGCTGAATCAGTCGCGAATACATTGCAAGACTGGCACGAACGTTTCGGGCACCTGAACTTCAAGGACTTAAAAGACATTATTAAGCAAACGAAAGTTAATGGAGTAAGTATTGAAACTGAAGGCGAAGTTAAAAAATGCGAAACATGTATAAGAGGAAAACAGGCCCAAACTCCATTACGAGAATCAATTTCAAAAAGTACAGACATTTTGGAACTTGTTCATTCTGATGTGTGTGGACCTATGCGAATAAATTCCATTGGCGGTTCACGTTACTTTCTCACTTTCATTGACGACAAAACAAAATGGTGTGAGGTATATTTTTTGAAACATAAAAATGAAGTGGCCGGAAAATTTAGGGAATACAAAAATTTAGTAGAAAAACAGAAAGAAAGAAAAATTAAAACTTTACGCTCACACAACGGAACCGAATACATATGTAAAACGTTAGAGAATTTTCTGAAGGAAGAGGGTATCAGACATGAATTTTCAGTGGAATACACGCCACAACAAAATGGTGTCGCTGAAAGGAAGAACCGAACTCTTGTGGAAATGGCAAGATGTATGTTGATACAGTCGAGATTATCAGGAGGTTTCTGGGCAGAAGCAATTTTAACGGCGAATCATATCAGAAATAGATGTCCGTCTCGAAGTTTGAATGGTGAAGTACCGTTTAAATTGTGGACGGGTCGTTCTCCGGTAGTGAGTTACTTCCAAAAGTTTGGTATTACTGCTTATATGTTGGACAAGAAGGGAAACAAAAATAAATTTGAGCCGAAATCACGGAGATGTGTGTTCATCGGTTATTCCACACAGTCTAAAGTTTACAGGCTGTGGTGTCCAGAATTAAAGAAAATTTTTCGAAGCCGTGATGTTATATTCGATAATAATTTTGTTGAGGAAGAAAATTATACAGATTCTATTGATGATGAGTATTGGAAGGATACGTCTATAGAAATAGCTTTTGAGAACAAGAAGAAGTGTGAAAGAAATGAAGTAATCAGTGAAGGTGGCGTACACGATGATGTACTTGGTGGAAGTAGCAAGCCACAAGAAGAATGTGAAGTATTCAGTGAAGGCAACGTACACGAAAATTCTGAACGCGGTGAAAGTAGCGAGTCCGAAGAGGAATTCAAAACCCCGGAAAGTTTAAAAAGAGGACCTGGAAGACCAAAGAAAGTGTTAACTGGAAAAAGAAGCAGACCAAGAAAATTGTTTAATGTGATATACAAAACAGAAGAACCGAGTTATGATGAATTCAATATTGCCGGGGTAGCAGAAAGTTGTGATCCTTTAACGGTTAAAGAGGCAATTGCTGGTAATGATGCCTATGAATGGAAACAAGCTATGCGGAAAGAATACGATGCGCTCCAAAAGAATGGAACTTGGAATATTATTGATCGACCAAAAGGGAAGAAAACTATAAAGTCAAAATGGGTTCTGCGCACTAAATTTAACGCTGATGGAACGGTTGAACGTCGTAAAGCACGTCTGGTTGCTAAAGGGTTTACGCAAATACCAGGTATTGATTATAACGAAACGTTTTCCCCTGTAGCTAGGATAGGCTCCATTCGGTTGTTGATAGCACTAACAGTTGAAATGCGACTACATGTACATCAGTTGGATTTCGTATCAGCATATCTAAATGGTGACATTGATGAAGAGATTCTAATGGAAATTCCGGAAGAGTTACCTGAAATTTTAAACGAAAGAGAGTGGAGGATGTACTCAGGAAATAAAATTTGTAGCATTAAAAAGGCACTATAAGGACTGAAACAGTCTGGAAGACAATGGTATCGAAAGTTAGATGAGAAGTTAAAAGAACTTCATCTTAGACCATTGAAAACAGATGCATGTGTTTACATAAGAAAGAAAGAAAATACTTCATTAATCGTAATAATTTATGTTGATGATCTAATACTAGCCGCGAACAGTTTGGAGGAGCTAAATCAATTAAAATCAGAATTGACTAAGTTATTTGAAATGAAAGACTTGGGCGTCTTAAGTTTTTGTTTAGGAATCGAATTCAAATGTGATTTTTCTAAGAATGAAATCTCAATGACTCAAGCAAAGTATATTAAAGATATATTAAATCGGTTTAATATGAATGACTGTAACGCAGTTACCACTCTTATGAATGCAGATGAAAAGCTCTCCAAAGATATGTGTCCGAAAAATGAGGACGAGAAAAAAGAAATTGAAAAATTACCTTATCAAAATCTAATCGGATGTCTACTGTATTTAGCAGGATCTACACGTCCTGATATTGCATACACCGTAAGCGTACTTAGTCAATTTAACACAAATTTCGGAATTAAACATTGGATAGCAGCAAAACGAGTTTTACGTTACCTTAAAGGCACTCAAAATTTAGGCTTATTATTTAAAAAGAATGGTAAGAATCTTACAGGATACGCAGTTGCCGATTGGGGTGCCAGCATAGGCGATAGAAGATCGTACACAGGATTTATATTTAGTTATGGTAGTACAGCTATTAGCTGGGAGTCCCGAAAACAACGAACAGTAGCTATGTCAAGTACTGAGGCTGAGTATATGGCTATATCTGAATCTGCTAAGGAAGCTATTTACCTCAGGCGTTTTCTTGATGAAATACTGGATTCACAAGGGCCAACAACAATTTTCAACGACAATCAAAGTGCTGGAAGACTTTGTAGAAATCCTATTTTTCACAACAGAACAAAACATATTGATCTCCGTTATCACTTCATAAGAGAAGCAATCGAAAGAGGAGATATACAAATTGATTATAAAGAAACCAGTCAAATGCCCGCAGATATTTTAACGAAAGCTATATCATATCCAAAACATAAACATTGCATTGAAATGATAGCTTTACAGAAATCTTGAGTTTCTGTTAATTTATTCTTACTGTGTTAACTAGAGGTATTCATTTGAGGGGAGGTGTTGTAACTTATATTAAAAACGTTATGTACTTACAAATGAACAACCTTGTTACTTAAAAATATATAGATCGTAATGAACATTGAAATATCAACTATTGTAAAAGAAAATTCTCTGAATAAAACTCACTCGATTTTAATACCTCAAACCTACATTTATATTTCATAATATGATTCAATTAAAATGTGAAAAAAATAACCTTGAATTCAATGTTGTTGACAAAAAATATATTAATTGTTTTTATTACCCTGCTTATATTTCATAATATGTTTCAATTAAAATGTGGAAAATAACCTTGATCTTGATTTCATCATCATTGTTTGTCTAATAAGTATATTAATGCTAAGTAGATGATAAGGGATCTACATAAATAACCTTGATCTTGATTTCATCATCATTTTTTGTCTAATAAGTTTATTAATGTCAAGTGAATGTTAACGAATCCCACATAAATAACCTTGATCTTGATTTCAGCATCACCATTGTTTGTCTAATAAGTATATTAATGTCAAGTAGGTGATAACGAATCCCACATAAATATATAAAAATATGTGTATTTAAATGTTTTATTCAGCTCTTTATATGTATATTGTTGACTTAGTGAGAAAAGTTGTTAAGTCCACTTTTTATGAAAACTAATATTTTTGATATAGGAAGTAAAGATTAAAAGTACATCGTTTCGATAAGTATTAAGATACTTTTTTCTCGTTCTCTCTCACTTCGGTTCATTAAAAAATTTTTTATAAAAATGGAATACATTGAATATTTAATATCAAACGAAATTGTGATTTTGTTCTATTAAAGCTGAAAGCGAGAATAATAAAAAAATGAAAACGGAATTAAAAAAGTTATTCCAATTTTCTAATATTAAATATCTACTTTAAAGGGATATGAAGGAAAATACTATATATGAAATAAATAATGTAGAACGAGTGGAAACAAAGTATGGAGAAAGCATTAGATGTCTAGTGAATCAGGAATATTATATTTACTTACCAAGGAGATTTCAAATTATAACAAAGAATCAGATGGACTACTTAAACAGATGTCCTCATATTATAACGAAAGCTAAGGATATATATGGAGCTCCTATCCTAAACCTTAAAAAGAAGAGCAAGAAACAAAAATAGTTTTTATAATATGTATGAAAGTTCCGAAGATGATGATGATGAACATGATAAAGAAAAAACAATTTAATTTAAAGTAAATCACTTTTTTCTCTATATTTATTGAAGAAAAAACAAAATGTTTAATATATAGTTATGCTTATCTTGATATATAAATTATTATATACATGTATATATATATATATATATATATATATATATATATATTATAATTTCAAAGTGTTCAAACAAATACAACAAAAAGTAAAATAGCATTATTTTTTATTGTTTAAAGTAATTGCATATTCCACACCACCTTGAGATTTGCAATAAAGGCGCGCTATCGATTTTTTTATTTGATTGGTGTTCGATTCCCCTGTAGGGCTATTTTCACCAAAAATCATATAATAAAGTTTTAAATATACTTATATTGAGGAGAGACTTTATTAATTTCGAAAGAGATATACTTGTATACTATATATTTATTAAAACTTCAATTAATAAAATGTACTTCTATAAATTAGAATTATCAAAATGGGAAAAGTTTCCTTTCACGACATAAACAGTTTTTAATTCATACTCATATTATACTTATTAAACTAATTTAAGTTATTGATTTTATAATGCCCCCATCCTAAGGTATTAATATTATCATCTTCTTCTTCTTTTTTGGCGCTGTAACCGCCTAAGCGATTTTGGCCGAGTTCAGCAAAGCACGCCAGTCGTTTCTCCTCTGTGTCAACTGACGCCAATTGGAAACGCCAAGTGAAGCCAAGTCCTTCTCAACCTGATCTTTCCATCGCAGTGGGGGCCTCCCTCCTCCTCTGCTACCACCAGCGGGTTCCGAGTTGAATACTTTCAGAGCTGGAGCGTCGGTGTCCATTCGAACGACATGACCAAGCCAGCGGAGCCGCTGTATTTTAATTCGCTGCACTATGTAAATATCGTTGTAAAGCTCATACAGCTCATCGTTCCATCGTCTGCGGTACTCGCCGTCGCCAACGCGTAAAGGCCCGTAAATCTTTCGCAAAATCTTTCTCTCAAACACTTAAAACAACTTTATTAAATTCTATTGTATAAATCTCGTGTATTTTAGATCTAAAAGTATACATCTTATCGTAAAAAATTTTGTTTTGAAGTAAACATTCTTTATAATTAATAATATTAAGATTTATTAATGCTGACTTTTTTACACCTTTAGCTTTCTTCACATCATTGTCACCCTCAACACTAATGGAATACATTTTACGCTTGAGTCCAATAAATTCTTTCATAATTTTACCATTGTTTTCATCTTTCATCATACCCAAACATTTTTTATTTTTTAAAGGAAAATTAAAGACGTTATTTTCTAAATATTCAGATTATCAAATTTTAAATCAATATCATCATAAATATCCTTATAAAAGTCATTCGTTTCAATGGTGTATATAAAAGAGTCAGTATCCATATAGTTTAAAGAGAGCTTTGTTTGAAACTTAGGTTTCATGTAATTATAATGAAAGTTATACATTTACATATACAATACAGCAAAACCAATATAAATATGTTTATCATATAAAGTATATGATCTTTTTAGTTGTATAGCAAGCATGTTTTCTGTAAATGATGTATAGCTATGAAAGTTAGGTTTAGCGATGAGGGCTCGAGCGCCTAATCTTTTTCCAATACTTTCCCATTCACATACGATTTTTATATCTTTCCTTTTATCTACACTTTCCATAGTTTTTCCATATACTGCATTATTCAGAAGTTTAAAAAAATTCTTTTCAAAATCATTCTTAGCGTTTGTTCTATGAAAAGTATTTAGGTCTATATACTTTTTTAGCCAATTAGACTGTTTGAACCTTAAAACGCGATGAACCTTCTTCAATTTCAAACCATGTTTAAGACACTGCTGCAAATTTCTATAATGAATTACATACCTAGTTTTATTATTTAAATCAGCTAATAGTTTAGGTTGAATCATGCTACCAATTTTTTTATTTTAACAACAAAATGGTAAGTCATTATGTATATCATGAATTGAATGAGGATATTCCAAATCAACCTCTAAAATGAAACCATATGAAGAGTTTTCTTCTACTGTGATAACATCAAAATCATTAACATTATCCAACCACTCAAATTCAGCATAGGGAAGATATTCGGACATAGCCCAACCATATAAATTATTTGCATCTAAATACATAAGATATTTTGATGGTTTATGACCAGGGAACGGATTTTATGGAAATTGCCTTTTTTCTGATAAAGAGATAGAGTATATTCGATTAAGAATGTCCACGATTTAGCTTTCCCTGATTCCATATATACACATTTGATGTTGCCTTTTTTTGCCTTTTTTAAGATATTTGCCTTTTTTTGCCTTTTTTTTGCCTTTTCTACCTTTAAAAAAGTGATTATAGCATTTACATTTTTTTTTAGATTAAAAAATATACACATGCCCATGCGGCTTATAGAAGCGCAGGGACCTCTTGCCAAATTGGTGTTGAAAAAATTCAAAGCCGTTTTCTCAGCTAATGTAGGCTTGAAGACAATAAGGCGTGTGGATAAAATTGTAAAGGGCGAGGAAAACGCCCTTGTTCCTGATAATATGAACGTTTCAAACGTTCCATATTTAAATTGGGGTTCACTTGTATCAACTTACGTCGAGCGCACATTTAGTACATTCAAGGCTTTTCTTCGCGAAAATCGAATGAAAATGCTGCCAGAAAACTTCAAAATGCATCTTGTGGTTCAATGTTACTACAACTATACAGATTAAAGTTTTATGAGTTAGAAACTCGAAAGGATAAAATAGTCAAAGATTCAAAGTACAAGTTTTTCATATAATGAAACTAGTTCATTGTTTTTCTCTTTTTACTTGTAATATAAACATTTCTAAAAAAAATATATTTTTGATTGTTCTTCGTATTTTTTGTCTTTTTTTAGTGCCTTATTTTGCTTTTTTTTGCAATACCTTTTTTTTTTTGCCTTTTCCTGCCTTTTTCGCTATTTTATTTTGCCTTTTTTACAATACCTAATGCCTTTTCCTGCCTTTTTCGCTATTTTATTTTGCCTTTTCCAGCCTATTTCGTTACTTTATTTTGCCTTTTTTATAGGTTTTTGGGTCCTAAAAATCCGTTCCCTGTTCATGACTATCATATTGCTCATGTATTTATTATTTGCAATAGAATATCGGTTAGAACATTGGACTATACCACCCCTTATACCCTTCTTTATGAAGCTATAAATATCAATACTTGTAATTAACTGTAATTCAATTTGTGTTGTCTTTAGCATTGCATCCCACGATAATCCGGGGGCAGTAAAATATTGGCAAGGATCTACACTATAAATTTCTAAACACGTTTTTCTGAAATTTTGAAAAATATCTGTTAATAATTTTATGTCTGTTTTTAAATAAATTTCTAAGTAATCACGTAATGTTGAGCAATTAAAAGTTGACCACGCTTTTTGAGCATGCTCATAGTCGCTAACACTACATTTTTCATTAATTAATTTATTGAAAAAATTTTCACGAGGTGGTAAACATGACTCTTGAAGGCATTCAATGCTATTAAAATAATCGTAAAGAAATATCCATTTTACTTTTAAAAGATTGAATTCATCTTCATCAACGAAGGTTGTTCGCAACAATCTAAAATCATTTTTAGTTAAATTTTTGGCTAAACTAGATAAACTAGAAGACATAAATCGAAAAGAATCTAAAAACCTAAGTGCAATACTTGAATTAATATTAAAATTAATATATTTTGATATGGACACATACAATTCCTTATTTAGTGGAATAATATTAACACTTCCTGGAATATTTGAAACTTCTTTAACGAATAA